ATGTAATTATGTAAGAATGTTAACACTGTTATATTTTTTTAGTATATTACTTGTGTGGTGTAGAAGAGAATTATTTATGTAGAGATACTGCTTGCAAACCAATGATGGTAAGATGATGTCATGGGGTAGGACTGGATAAGTCTGACTTCTTCCTACTCCATTCAAGCATGTACTAGGTATAAGCAAATTGGTATTGGATTAGCATTTGTTGGATATGTGTAAAATTATGTGTGTTGACATATCAACTGTCTTTACATGCTTGAAAGAAAGAATAAATCAAATCAAATCAAATCAAGTCAGGGCCACCGAGGATGTAACAACCAGCATAAATCAGAATATTTTGACTAACTGCTACACATTTTACAGCCTACCTTTACTAGTTAAAGTACTGTACATAAGGTTGCAAAATGTTCTTGTACTTTGAATTTAAATAAAAGCTTTTGGTGAAAAAAGATGAATGATAAATCAAATGTTGCATTCATAAAACATGAATATTAAGTCCTACACACTTATATCACTGTCTAACATTAACTTACATAACTATGTCTGCATAATAATGGTTTAATAAGATGCATCTTTTGAACAGTTTGTGGATGGGAGGCTACCCTGCTGCATGAATTTAGGCCACAGTCCTGATGTGAACATTGTGAAAGCTCTGACATGGATGAATGAGATATGCTTGTGTTCGAAATGCATTTACAGGGGTAAAAGTAGGTCAGCTCTCCTGGAAAAACCTCCCCAGGGGGAAGGTATGTCAGAGACACAAGTAAAAAGCTTGAAAAGGGCAATTCTCTCCATGTTCTCTATCATATGCTGTATCTGTTCCCCTTTTATCTTACCCTTCACCAGGCTCATTCACCATGAACTCTTCCTCTCACATAAAATACACTCATCCTGTTTGCCCCTTTGCAGCAGCAGAAGGTCCCACAAGCATATACCTATAAACGGCAGATCAGATTGTGGATCCAGAGCTGAATTATTTAGTCTACACCATTTGTTACGTTGCCTGTACTGTAAAGTCGCTCAGGGGATCTCACTCCATAAGTTTGTCTGAACTCAACGCTCCCTCCTCTCACTGCACACAACTAGACCTACAATAGATTTACAGAGATTGATAGCAGATACCTGTTCTTACAATATATTCCAACTGGAGAATGAGACCTGGTTGGAACAAGTCAGCTTGGTCCCGCTCTTCACTGAAGCATTCAGTGAAATATTCAAAACCAAGATGTCATGTTTTATATGGCTGCACCATTCCATCAAATGGTGTACTGTGCACCCCCCCCAAATGAATCCTGAAGTTCTGGGTCATCTGAGTTTAAACAAAGACATGACATGATTTTGTAATGAGGGATGCAAGAGGTTAATTGTGAAAACAGTTAGGGCTGGATATACAGTTACATTAAATTACAAACATGTGAGAGCCCACTAGCTTGACATAATAGTGGCAACGTATGTCTTTTTGAGACAATTCATGACTAATTCTATTATGATTTTTTAATGACTCAGTGTCCAAAGCTAGCAGTAGCAGTGCAGCCTTTGCTTTGGGCAGATGAACTCTGGCAAATGCAATTCTCTAAGTGAAAAATATTCTTAGGATTTTATGAGGCCACTGGTGGATCCAGCCTCCCATTCAGACAACTACAGTAACAATACCTAGGAATAACCTGGTTTGTATTTGGGCATACCAGGTCAGAGAGAGACTCTGTCTATTTGTAATCCTAAAATGAAATTTGGAGCTTGAAGGAAAGACATGAAAGGACAAAGTTGGAGTTTGTATTTACCCCAGAGGTTGTCCTGTTCGATGTGTGGACATATTAGTCACTGAAAGCTAAGCTGTGCTGATTTGTGTGACAATATTACAGTACCATCTGGCCAGCAGTAGCACTTGTAACATTAGCAATAGATATCTGCTATGTGCAATCTTTAAAGGCACCTCCTAAGATACATCACAGCCTCAGAGAGCACAAATAAGAAAACAAGTATAGAGATGAACATCGCATGTAATTTTGTTGTGATTTATTTCTGCAGGGTAAAGGCTAAATGCTAAGGGATGCAGGCATTTCTTTTATTGCTCCGTGGACAGAAGAATGAGCAACCAAGTCCAAACTGAGAGGTGAAAGGTGGCAGCAGGTCACAGCAGGTTCAGCTGAGCAGCGCAGAGCAGCAGACAAGATCTTAAAAGGAAGGTGTGGCTGTTCGAATGGTTTGATTAACAGTCGCAAATTCCCTTTAAACCCAGTCTGCTGGGGGTCAGAGCACTGTGTACCTGTTCGACGATGGCTCACTGAGTGCCAGCCTGTAGATATATTCCAACTATTAACGAGCTCTAGTGTTTGTATAAGATAAGAAATATGTCGCATGCAGCACAGACATAAGACAAACACCATGAATTCTTAAACATTTTGACATAACAGGTGCCTCAGATGGTGTGGTGGATAAGACCATTGCCTCTAATAAAGTGAACCAGTTGACCTGAGAGTGAATCTCAGCTGAGCCCCACAGCCTCCTGCAGGTCTTAATAAGAAAGAAAAATATTGGCCAAACAGAGCACCCAAGCAGGGCGGGTGAGACAAGTGGAGCAGAAAACATCCCATAAATCCTCACATCTAGCACTACCTGGCTTATAGACTCCTCAAAGTAACAGAAAGCCTGAGAGCAGCGCCTCAGAAGACTAAAAGCACCTGCAATGCCAATTCCCTGCTGAGCAGAGAGGAGGGACACAGAGACAGAGAGAGAAAGAGAGAGGTGGGCTTCCTCCGGCTTGTGTTAGAACAGCACTTACGTTCACTATGGCCTCCTTGGTCTGGGCCATGTCCGATATGACGCCATCAGTGATGATGAGCAGCACAAAGTACTGAGATCCGTCCTGAACTGCTGCAGCGTACCTGCCCGAAAAAACATTATCAGCACAGAGTGCAGCTCAGCTCACCGTGTTAAAGCAGAGCAAAGCTGAAAACAGATATTCGTGGAATAAAATAAAACTCTGAGGCTGGTTTGAACAAGCAGAGATATATAAATAAATAGATAGATAGATAGATAGATAAATAGATAGCATGTTCTTCAGAAACAAACTCCCCCTCAGCCCAGTGTGACACAAAAGCTTTATATAGACATGTACAGAAGAAAAATGTGTTGTATAGCTCTTAACATCTCAGAGGTCTATCCAGACACTATTATGAAACCCATCAGAGACACCACAGTGAGTGTGGCCTACTTTGAATCGCCCGTTGCTGGCTGCTCTGTGAATAATTTATTAAACTGTTTATGCAAGTGCTGCCCTCTTGTTCTTTCAGAACATTATTGATTCCCCAGCACTCAATTGACCAGACCCTATGAGCGAGAAGGGGGACACAACATGCTGGATTACAGAGAGCCAAGGACAGGTCAGAGGTGAGTCCACACTCTCGCTTTCAGTTTGATAAATGTGACAGTGAGACAAGGAGCATTTTGATCAAAGAGCATGCCCAGTCAATAACGACAAGAGCGATGACTGATGTTCAAGAAATTAAAGGGATATTTGTCTTCCTCATCTGCCATACAACAACGTGGGCCACGATCAGTTGAGACATTTGACCACATTAGCAGAGTACTAACTCCAGCACCGAGCACAATTATGCATTACAGACAGTCGACATTCCTACACAGATGAGAGCGTAACACTAGCACATTTAACGTGTTATAACAGGTCAAAATTATACTGTGAATCATGTGCGCTGTGCATCAGCATCTTTTACTCTTTAACAAGCAATGCCTGCTTTAATTAGTTAGCCAGCCTTCTGCTTGTGATGCATGCAAGACCTGAAGTGAACACACGCTCAGCTCAGCGCATAATGTTGACATCTGTTTCTGGTCATGTAAAGAGTCACTTTAATCTGTTTATCACTGCTTTACTGTAGGACTTCTTTCACTGGTTCTGCATTGCATAGCCGCTCTCAAGGTCTGAACATTTGTTAATCATTTTTAGTATTTTCTGTTTTACTGTTCTCTTTAGGCTTTGAGAGAGCGTGGAAAGTGTAATAATATAAATGAATTACGTCTCTGGTTCCTCTGAACCCAGACAATGTGACACTGTTTATTACATATAAAATCCTGATAAAAACATGCAATTATTAAACATGTAGTGAGGTTTGTAGGGGACTTTGTTTCCTGGCTTTGTGTGGGGGTAAACAGGACTAGACGCTATATCTGTACCGTATGCATCCTCTTGGTGAGGTAAAGAGCTCTTCTGATTGTAGTTGTTGTTGCATGAGTCAATTAAAAATATTTTGTATTAATATATTGCTCTTCAGCTGTTTCTGATGAAGCAGTAGCCTTCTGTTTTAATAAGGACACACATCGGTGCCACAAGAGGAGTGGTAATGAGTACTACTGATACTAAATGACAATGTAGTAAAACTGTTTAATAATATATAATATGCCTTCAGATGTGTAATTGCGGACAATATAGTACATTAAGAAACACTTCAAAATGGTTTAAAAGGCTTATATGTTCTTGAATGTTTACAACTAATTTAGAGTGTGTTATGTGATAATACACTGCTTATAAATGCTAAATGCTTTACATTAGTAAAGCATTGCCTCATGGAGAAATGCAGGTAAATGATTAAACCTGAAAGTAGAATTCAAGTCTAGGTCGACAGTGCACAAATCTGAGCCTATAGGTACCATTTCAATCTTGAGAAAGTAAATCGTACCTGCCTTTTTACAAAGTGTGGTGCAGACCTATTTGTACACAGCCTACATTATAATTTGGCTTTGTGCACTTATTCCATTTGCAGTGACAGGAAGTTTGTAATGGTGCATTAAAGCATGTGGTGCTACATTCACAGTAAAGCTAATTTACTGAATGATGTGAGGATTTCAGCAATACATCTGAAAAGCTACATAACATGAATTTCTTTTACATGGTTTCTGCCATTCCCACCACATTACCCACCACTTTCACCATATTACATGTCTAAAAAGAAATGTAGCATCTACACTCTCCTGTGTCCCATATATGCCTTATTACCATTTCTATTCATCTCAGCCTGACAGCTGATTGTTTATTTTCCCTTTGTTATTTCTGCTCATTTCATAGAGAAACCATCACTCACTGTCATAATACCTCTGATGGGGTGTCTGCCTGCTGAGGATTATTTACAGATTCGCATTCAAAGAGAAGACCGACATGCTGTGGTGTGTGTTCACTGGGACAGATATTTATCTTTGTACCTTGCCACATGATTAACAACAGGAGCAAAGTTGGTGGGCCCATACAGCTGAACCGTCTTAAGGCTTTGATGGTAAGCTTCGAGAATCCCATGCATGCCGTTACAGTACGGGTTCTCAATGTTGCCATTCTGAGGAAAAAATAAAAACATCATGAATGGTGGTGGATGCCCCTCACCCAAAAAAATGGCACATTTACCTAAAATTCAACATGTCCACCTCGCCTCCATCAAACAATAACTCTAAAAGGGCTGTATTTACACATTTATTTTATTTTTATTTATTTAACCAATCTTTAACTAGGGTACACATGTAACACGTTACACTAGACAATCAAACATTTGTCACCTCAAGTTTGTTCAGTTGCAGAACTGTGCTGAAACAGCTCCATTAAGGCCAGGACATTCGAGATGTTGCCTGCATTCATTGCACTCAGCTGAAACAAGTGCCATCTGGCAACATTCAAAACTAACACAGTGGTACTTCTTCTAATTCTATATGTGTGTGATACAAAACACATCATGTGCAGATGTGTTTTGGAGCTGACCTTTGATAGAGTTCAGCTTAGACTACTCTCATTTAAAGCAAAGTGAAAGATATTCCCGGGTCTCTGTATTGGATAAATAAAAGAATTATATGAATTCCCACACCTGATGCAGCAGTGATGTTAAAGCCATGCTCTCAAGTGACCACTGATGCTTCTCTTCTGCAGAAGAGCTAGTATGGAGTTACTCTTAAAGGGCTGAATGACATTTTCAAAACATGCTTTGCTCTCAGAGAGGTGCTTGTCAAACTTTGCTTTAAAGGTTAGCTTCTTTAGCTACAAGGCACATTTCTAACCTAACATATGTAAAAAATATTCCACCCAGGACTGTAACTTTACTTTTAAAACACACATATTAGACTAGAGCATGAAAGAATGAGGCTACAATTATATGGTGAGATGAATCTTAATTTGCAAATTCTAATGGAAACATGGAGTGATGCAGATGTTCCCCTGTAGACAGACTCCTCATTAGGCTGTACTATGCAGCAGACAGAGCACATTAGCTGGCTGAGAGAAGCCAAATTGATTTAAGAATCCTTCAGCCTTACAGAACCTAATTTGCACTATAAAAGGTAAATGAAATTCACTCTGATTTATGCATGTCATAGGTGTAGCAGCATTCATCTCAAAATGCACACATTGCACATGAAAAGGTGCTTACCCATACATGCCAGAGAGAGCATGAACTACCGCTTGCACTCAAAGATAAGCTCCATCAAGAGGAACAAAATTCCTTTTCACATTGATCAACTCTGTGAACAATTCTGATGCTGAAACAGGACCTCAGCATCTGAAATATCCTTATAATTTACTTACCAGAGGGAACTCATGGGAGACCCTCCCATCAGGGGGCAGCTTAGCACCGAATCCCAGGGCAGGGAACATCTTGTCACTGTCATAGTCCTGGATGATCTCTCCCACAGCCTTCAGGGCCATGGCATAGGCATTCATCTGGTATGGGTTCATGTAGTGCAGTGAAGTGGACTGGGACGGATTTCCTGATGCGGATTTCAAGACGAGAGAAGTCAGAGTCAGTGAAAACCATCAGAATGAGACCAAACTGACAGCTGTAGAAGGAAAAACACGAGTGAACCCAGATTAAATTGGACGCTCAGAATCAGGCTGAATGCAACTATCCTGCTTATTAGTAATACTGGAATTCATCCATGTTATGCTAGCTGCTGCATGAGAATAACAGAACATGTTTATATTTTCCCGCTTTTGTTTTTGAAGTTACAAAGACACTCAAATGTGATGCGCACTGTCATTCTCAGTTAGGGCAAGTTGCTAAGTGGAGCATTAAAGATGGAGCACAGAGAGAATTGTTAACATTAGATGTCCATCCCCATTACTTGATTTTAACTTTCATTTTTGAATATTTTTTTGTCCATTTCTATATTTATACATCATTTTGTTAATATGCAGTACCATGTTAATTCTTCAACAAGAGACAATATTAATATCAGGAAGAAAAATCCAGCCCCCACTTTGATTCATGGAAAACGCCAGAGTCAAACATCCGATGATAAATGATGAGAGCAGGGTGATGGTAGTCGAAACGCTCACCGTTTGATGCAGTGAAATCAATGGCCACTGTGAAGTGAATCTGGGTCCTGAAATAGATGAAAAGGGGAAAGGATGCTGTCAACATAAGCCAGGCAGGAAAACTGCAGTTTAATGAGGCTCTCCCAGGTTTCACTGTGCCCTCTGCTGTACCTGTCATCTGAGAAGTGGTGGGACTTAACTAAATCCAAAACACTGATCAGAATAGATCTACCCTCTACAGCGATTTCACAGCTGCCTCATCACAGTTGTTGTCAGTTAATAACATCAGGTCGTTATTATGTTATGAAATACATTTACATACGGTCGAACAGCATCCAAAGCACTGTTTTGATCTTTAAATAACACACTATTCTAAAGATTTATCAGCACAGTGGCAAAGTCAAAACCACAAACACATCCCACAAAACCTAGACTTGCTGTTCCAGGCACAGTAATTTCGTGGACAGATACCACAGACACGTAATGAGTTGTTGCACACTTAATGATGTGACTGAACATCACACTGAGGAAAGCTGTGATTATTAACAAGGCATCAAAAGCTGCAAGAAGAAAATTATCCCAATTCCTCATTAGTTGTTGTGACTATTTACCTTGTTTTTTCAAGAACATTTACACAATCATGCACGCCACTAGATTACCCATTATATCCACCATCATAATCTTTATCATCACTGTAATGAGCATTATTGTCTCACTTGGTGCTGCATCATGATGTGGTGAAGTATTCCATTCACCACATCAGTGTAGAAAAGTAACCTTTCAAAATGTCCATAAAACAAGTCAGTGCTTTTTATTCCTGGGCCTGTAATGACAGCCAAAACCTTGAAAGGAAACAAAACATGGCCTGACTAGTCTCTGCTGGATTTGCATGTTTCCCCAGAGACACAAACAGCAAATGAAGAGAAGGGGAGCTAAGATCAAAGTGTGTGCTCTCTTGTTGTGATTAACACTGATTGCCTTTTCTGACTTCACTTCTATTCAGAAATTCCCACAAGCACAGTATTGGAAATAATGGCAGCTTTCTCCTGGGGAGACTCGGACCCCGGCTCATTAATCACCGTTGAGCTGGACCACTCGGCTAACGAAGGGGAAATGTGGCCTCTTTTGAAAGTCACTGCTGATTTATATGGCTAGATATGAATGTCTGTTGGTGAGTTGGAGTTGAGGCCGAGTGCAGGACAGCAGAAACGGCCACATGGGAACTGTCAGTCAAACTGCCCGTCAGCTCATCAGAGCATTTCCTAGAAGCTCATCCACAGGCAGTCACTGCTAAACACTTCTCACAACATGATCCATTACTCTTTATCTGAATGCTTAGAGAGGGAAGTAGACAGCACGCAGCGTTACGTGTATTTATAACATTAATAGTACAAGCCTGTGCAGTGTCAATTCTTTCATGAAGATAAAAACTACATAACAGGAAAACACATAAACAATCATCAGATTGTACAAATTAACAATAAAGCTACCTAAAAATAGAACATACTTTTCTTTTTTAATAATTATTAGTCAATGAATCATCAACATTTGTGATATACAGTTAATTATATTAGTTAGTTGTAGCAAAAATGTCATACACTCTCCAGGTTTCTGTGTTTTATATTATTGTAAGTTGATATGTTTTGGTTTTGGACTGTTGGCATAACACTTTCAAGGCATCAACCTTTGATGATCATTTGTCACTTTGTCCCCGTATTTTTTTAAACTAAAAACATGTTTTACATACGAATTATCACTAAATATTAAAGATTATCTTTTGTACTTAACAAAAGCTGCAAAAAATTCTAATGAAAGGTATATAACTTATTTTTAAGACTAATCATTCCTCAAACCAGCTTCACTTTGGCTAGAAAATGACCCAAGTTATGATTCAGTTTTAACAGAGAATGGATATGCCTGGGCTTCTGTAGGAATTAGGCTTGAAATTGTGGATATGTTCATGGCTTTACATGTGGATTAACTCGGTGAATGGATTTAGAAATCAGGGCATTCTCATGATGTCTATCAGACAAAAGCACTGTGAAACAAACAGGCCAACACACATGGATCTCTGGGGATCAATATGCGCAGTTGTCTGTGGAATGCTGCAGAAAGAGTTACATCTCTCATCACACATATGTCTGTGTTCAGCTGACTGGCTTGAGTTTCTCTCCTCTCTCTCACTCTCTCTCTCTGTATATATACATACACACACATTTGCGACTTGCAGCGGGGATTTGTCTTATATATAGGCAAAAATCAATATGGACTGATGTTGACTGATGTTCCACTACTGTCTGTTTTGCAGGTCTTCTTGCAAAGAACAAGTGCCTGTTGGGTTGTCTGGAGGTGTCCCTCCAAGCTCTAGTGTTGGAGAGCAGATAATTTTTCACCCATCTTTCCCTTTTAAATCTCTACCTTGAGTGATATTATGCTTTATGTACATCATCATCATTTCCTGTATTTGATCAGGATAAATCTGACAAGTGGCCTCTTACAAGCTGATTCAGTACAAACCTTTCAGAACAGGCAGTCCAATAACTCCCTACAGGCTTTACTCTGTCCCATCACATCACCACTAACTCACTCAGCGTCTCCCTTCCTCTCACTTTTGTTCTGAGCTAAAATGATGGCTCGCAACCAGTTTGTGGATCACCTTCAATTAAGGCAATAAGGACAAATGAACTGGTGTCATATTGACTTGTCCCTTCCAGGTAGACAAACACCATATGGCAGGAGCTTTGTAACATGAACACCCTGCAGTCTTGGCAATCTGGTTTAGGTAGGATATTGTATGTGCTGTAATGTAAAACAGCGTGACACAGAATGCAGCTACAGTACACCTGCAGTCTCATCAGTATGTACTGGAAATCAGCCAACACAGACTACTGTACGAGCTCAGTGCGGTTCTTGTTTAATGGCATGCAGGCAGATACACACAAGGGAAGTAGAGTAGGACGCAGTGAAAACAATATACTATATGTATATTATATGGGGCTTTTTCTTAATTATGAATAGTAGTGCTATGTACGGTATACCACTGTGTTATCTGTGTATTACCTTACTTAGTTATTTTTAGTTTCCTTGATAGAGACCTGATACTTGATGATCTTAACTTTTACTTCAAAGGCCACTGTGCTCTCAAGCCTCATCATTGACTGATGTAAAGCCCCATGTAATTTCTGCATACACCTTCAACCACCTTCAATATAAAGGCAGGGCAACCTAAGATGCAAAACCCAGACTGTGATTAAGACTCATTTCTGAGTGCATGGTAATAACTGAACGCAATGTAGATGAATATATAAACATAAAGGTCAATGAGACTGGCAAGACTGGGATTCCAGAAAGCTATCATGACTGGTTCTAGTTGCAATGACACCCAGGACAAAACTTAACACAACTGTCATGCATGAATTCAAAGTCTTCTGCCTCTGCTTCCCTCCAACACAAACAGGACCAACGACGGCCGGGGTCAGAATGAAACATCTAAGCAGCACAAAAAATGGCAGTGCAGCACACAATATCTGAAATCTTTAACACCAATACCATATCTTCCATGTATTTAAGCAAGGTGAGTGATTAACAAATCACTATACATGCTAAAAAATATGACCTGATAAGTGAATGAAGGTCACAGCTGAGTAATATTCCCCCCTATTTTCAAAAATCAAAAATATCAAAGAGTAGTAAAATAAATAGTAGAGAAATAATATAACCCAGTAAATTGCCATTCTCCAGTTCAACCACTGACCTTAATGAAATACAACAATAAAATACAATAAAGCAGTATCACTTTCTCCCATTTCAGCACAATAAAAACATTTTGGGGTGAAACTATTAAACCTTAATAAAATCTCTGCACAATAGAGGCTCCAGAAAAGCCATTATACGGCCAATCTCGCTGCAGATTTAATTTAGAAAAACATTTCAACATCTGATGAAAAGAATATAAATCTTTCATTAGCCTCTCAGAACTAGACCAGTATGTGGGTTTTGGACTTTAATAATCTCTTAGAGCATATCTCTGTCTCAACTGAATGTTAATGAAAATGAATGAAGAGCCAATCCACTGTGAAACCAGTCGGGATGTGATGGCAAAAGAGATTGCCTTTTTTACCCTCTGCTTCAGAAATCATCTAAAATGTTAGTTAGCACCTGTTTGAAAGAGAGCAGTAAAGCAAACATAAGTAAAAGTAGAGAAATCAGTAGCAGAAACATAAAAGATTACATTTAGGTGTCAGATCAGATTTATACAGGCTGCTGCTCATATTTCCCACAATCTCAGTAAATGGTGCATTTAGGTTCAGCCTTTTTTCCAGTGAGAGTTTACTGATTTGCATGAGTTGAAAAACAGGTACCTCTATCACCCAGCTAGTAGATTGCAAATCTGAATAAAATGGTTGCCTAACTGGGCTCTGTGCCATAGCCCATAAAATGCATGTTTTGTCCTGATGGATGGAAGGAAATGGAATTTAAACAAAAGGTAGAATTAAATCTGAAACACATTCACATACAGTATATTTAGCAACTTGTGTTTGACCAAAAAGAAACCTCCAGCAGAATCATTTTTTGAAGACGTTGGTGTAAGATTAGGATATAAAAATGTTGTTTTTGTATTCAATATCTGCTCAAAATGTGAAACATTTGTGAATGTTTGCTCACATATCTAACATCTTATTTTTCTATCTTGTTAAAGACGTGAGCTGCTTGTTAAACAGCAGACACTGGGGGAAACGTATTTTATCTTCACTGATTCTCAGCACCCACTGCATGTTTGACTGTCTCAGGGGAAAATGTCTTTGTGTGTGGGGGTTAGGGTTTATCTTCTTAATGTGGATGTGGTAAAACTCTTTGAGACAGTAGCAGTTATTAAAGGTTACACAAATTCTCTTAATCTATTTTAATGAATGTTCAGTAGACAAAAGGTCCCATCTAAAGATTAATAAGAGTTCAAAGTTACCTAAAGTTTTACTCATTTAATTGACTAAATCAGCAGCTGCGTCTCATGAACTCTCTTCAGTTGAACACTGTGAGCCTAGTGTTTCATTTTCCATGGACACAGTTA